TATTTTTTCCCGTGTTTTCGGATGTATACATTTTTTTCACTCGTTCATTCTCGTACTTGATATTTCACTATGACTGAACAGACACCCAAGGTACTAAAGCCAAAGACTATGTTCCCACCTTCGTTCCAACTGATGCCCTTCTGGCCAGACAACATCGAAGCCTGGTTCTGCTGCGCAGAAGCCGACTTCTCCGAGCATAACGTGAACGACGCACGTGCACAATTTCTCGCAGTAGTCAAGGCACTACCGTGCGAGTTCAACAGGTTCGTAACACCTAGAATGTTTAGTAGTTGTGTTTCTGGACCCTACGAAACACTTAAACGAGCTATCCTTAAACGTGGAGACCTGATCGATAGACAAATGCTAGACCAACTCCTTAGTACCATCGACCTGCAACACGGTTCTCCGACAGACATGTTGCAAAGAATGAAAGAGGTTATCGGCCAAAAAACCTTCGATGATGGCCTATTCAAACAACTTTTCTTATCCAAACTTCCTCAACAGGGGCAAGCTGTGTTGGTCTCGTTTCATAACAACACCTTAGACGAGCTGGCTGCATCTGCTGACCGCACCTCAGAAAACACCAAATCATTTAACGTCGAGATTTTTTAGTCAAAGGAAAGCCTCAAACGACCCAGAATGACATTACAGAGTTATATCATACACTCACAAGTTATCTTAAATTTCCTAACGACCGTAAACGGTCACACACCCTGTGAAGAAGCACTTCACGTGGGCGATCTGTCTCTAGACCACGAGAGACTGATAACCTCGGCTGGTGCTGGTATCATAACCAGTATGGAAAGTCCTCCAGAAATTGCAAAAAACCCTGCAATTTTCCTAGCTCAACATCGACCGACACGAAAAGCAATTCGGGAAACTTCCGAGCCGGCACGCGTTAATGGCAAATGTAACCGGCGAACATATACGTCGCAGATGTGATAACGAGAGTTCGAGACCTCGTCGATACTGGCGCAGAAGTTAGCGTTCTACCTGCAAATTCCAACGACCGGCTTCGTGAATCAGTTTTAAACTTACAGGCGGGAAACAGAAAGCCGATCGCCACATATGGTGAAATGTACATTTACCTTAACGTGGGTTTACGCAAACCCATACACTGCATCTTTGTTGTTGCAGATGTTTCCATACCAATCGTTGGTATGATCCTATTACAGCACCACAATTTAATCATCGATACGCACAAACGGAGGCTAGTAGACGGAAACACTAACTTATCTGTTTGCGTAACTTCTTTTTCCGGTCGCAGATTATCTTCAGCCACAATTAAGCACATGGCAGACCCATTCTATGTACCAATACTCGATAAGTATTCTGGGATATGTCAACCGCAACCGAAATTGCCGTGTGTAACCAGCAATGTTACACATCACATCACAACTACAGGACAGCTTGTATTCTCTAAAGCACGACGACTGGCCTCCGAAAAGCTAAGGTTGGCGAAGAACGAGTTCGACCACATGATAGACTTGGGTATCATAAGACCGTCAAACAGGCCATAGGCATCTCCGTTTCACATGGTCCCTAAAAAGGACAGAAACGATTGGCGTCCAACTGGTGACTATCGGCGGTTGAATGCCAAAAAACCATCCCTGATCGTCGCCCGTTGCCTCACATTCACGATTTGACAGCTACATTGAAAGGTACAACTGTCTTTTCTAAAATTGACTTGGTTAAAGCGTATGACCAAATCCTTATGACTACTGAAGATATTTCGAAAACAGCTCATATAACTCCTTTCGGACTGTACGAATTTTTGTGAATGCCTTTCGGTCTAAGAAACGCTGCCCAAACTTTCCAAAGATTCATCGACGACGTTTCTCGAGGTCTCAACTTCGTAAATGCGTATGTTGATGACTGCCTAATCGCAAGTCCGGACAGAATGACATCTTCAGCATCTAGATCTTGTTTTCTTCCGACTACAGAAACACGTAATTAATGTAAACATTCAGAAATGCTAAACCGGAACCGACTCATTAGACTTTCTAGGACACACTATCGGTGCTCAAGGCATTCGACCCCTTAGAACCAAAGTGGCGGCCATTCTGGATTACCCAGAACCGACCACCGTCAAGCAATTACGCACGTTCAACGGCCTGGTAAGTTTCTATAGACGTTTCATACCCAAATGCGCATTACTTATGAAACCTCTGACCGACCAACTTCGTGGAAATGCGAAATCCATCAATTTGGACGACACCGCACGAAAAGCATTCTCCACAAATAAGGAACTCATCGCAAAAGCAACCATGCTTGCACATCAGGACACTCAAGCACCCATTAGTATCTCAGTAGACGCATCCGACTCAGCAATCGGAGGAGTCTCACAACAATGGGTTAACCACTCCCTGCAATCTTCGGCATTTTTCCCTAGACGGCTGATAGACACTGAATCGAGGTACAGCACATTCGGTAGGGAAATCCTAGCTATGTATTGTGCTGTACGGCATTTTCAACACTACATCAAAGGCCGTGAATTCACCCTTTTCGCTGACCATAAGCCTCTTACTTTCTCTTTGAGCTCCTCTTCAGACAAGTACTCGCCTCGTGAGTCTCGACAACTGGACTACATTTCGCAGTTTACTTCGGATATTCAACACATCTCTGGAGCAAACAATGTAGTCGCAGACGCCTTGTTTCGAATAACCTCCGTGAACAGTTTCCAAGGAATCGACCCTCTGAAACTCGCCCAGCTTTAAAAAGAAGACACTGATCTTCAGCACGAGTTATCGTCCACAACACTTAAACTACGCATCAAACAGATGGGAACAGGTAAGGAAACCTTACTTTGTGACACATCTACAGGTAGGGATCGCCCAATCGTGCCGAAACATTATCGACGCAATGTCTTCAATACATTCCACGAGCTTTCTCATCCAGGAGTTCGTGCAACCATCAAGCTTATAGCAGAACGGTTTTGCTGGCCTGGCATGAATAAAGACGTGAGGGAGTGAGCACGCTTCTGTGTAAGCTGCCAGAAATCTAAGGTCATCAGACACAACAAATGTTCCTTAGGCTCATTTAAAACTCCCGATTCTCGTTTCGACCATGTTCATCTGGATTTGGTAGGACCTTTACCAGATTCAGATGGATACTCTCATCTCTTAACCTGCGTTGACTGTTTCACTCGATGGCCAGAAGCAGCACCTATCAAGGATATCACTGCTGAAACAGTGGACCGCGCCTTCGTCGAACGATGGATAGCAAACGTTGGCTGCCCTTCTACTATCACTACAGATCGTGGGCGTCAGTTCGAATCTGAACTTTTCCGTTGCACTATTAAGAATCACTCGCTTCCGAAGGACCGCCTACCACCTACAAACAAACGGGTTAGTGGAACGCTTTCACCGACAACTAAAAGCTTCACTATCAACTTCAAACATTTCTTAGTGGACTGACGCTCTTCCACTCGCCTTACTAGGTATTCGCAATGCAGTGAAAGCTGACATTGGATACACTGCAGCTCAACTCGTTTATGGAATAACACCCCAACTTCCAGGAGAATTCGTGGATCCTTCCTCCTCTTCAATGAACACGGATCTAATCTCCTACACTAACAGGCTTACAAGTTAAGTTAAACCTGTTTCCACTCGACCTCAATCAACTGATGTTTTTGTTCAACCTGACATACGATATGGTAAACACGTCTTCGGACATCGAGACTCGCATCGACAACCTTACGAATCAGCATACGAAGGACCTTTCAAAGTTCTTCAACGCGAACCGAAGTACTATACAATCGATAATAACGGAAACAACGATAGCATTAGCATCGACAGCAACAAAGCAGCGTATTTAGAAGGAAGTCCTATTCCCATCGATTTTCCTTCGGCACAATCGCACGACACGACTCCTACACTTATAATATCTCAACCGACAGGCAACACACACGATCATACTTCGGCAGCATCAGAAAATAAACTTAAAACGACGCGTTCTGGAAGAAGATTAAGATTTTCAGAACATTTGAACTATTATTGCACGTAGAATACTAGTTGACATTGTATATCATCTCGATTTTTCTTTGTACTTTATGTAATAAAAAACGACAATTTTAATATGCATATATATTTATATTTTTATCTCGCAAAAACAAAACAAAAAATACCATATTATCAGGATCCTATTACGTGTGCGTGAGTTTATTTTCCTTTTTTCACCCGCTTTGTGTTTTTACGCGCGTACGTGTGTATTTCGGCATGCACTTATATATATTTTTCCAGGACGGCTGGAAAAGACGATAGAAAGAACGATGAAGGTTACAGGGAACCGAAATTTTCATTGTACTTATTCTTTTTTACTATATTATACTTCATGGTCCTGTAGTGTGGCGTCGAGTCGCGGTTGACTATGATCACCACTACAAGAAGACTCCGTGCCAGTTAACCGATAAGATCTCCCGTAAGCCAAATATCAGAAGGCAGTTGATGGCTGTAGTCGAGATGTATTTGTTAGCGATCTCGAGGTATCAAAAGAGTACCGAGGTCGTGCCAGGTTACAAGTGTGGTTACAAAGCAAACGTAAGTTCGTGCAAGGTCACAATCAACGGAAGGAAGAATAATGGATGTCTTTAGTGCAGATAAACAAACAAGTACGGTAAAACAATCACTGGTACAGTTGGTCATAGTAATTCTATATTGTACCAAAATATAATATTGAATAAAGCCATTAATAATAATAATAATAATTGTTTCCATTACACCATTCGCGTTCTCTTGATAAAAGTAGGTCACTACAGTCCCTTGTAGCAAGGAAAGATTACTAGACGCTGCTAAACCTAGCAAGCTATCAGAAGAGTGTTTACCAACGACAAACTCGCTGGGTTTAAACTTCTGGCTGGCCACGTCTTAGGGTCATCACTACCCCCTAGGGGGGTGAGTGCGGAAAATAAATCTCCGAAATAAATAGCTCTGTAAGTTTTCGACATTGGATGCTGACCACATTACTTTTAATGGACTCACCTGGCTGAAGGCACTAGGTCATGCACCCGCACCAGATCACGAGTGGGAACGCCGTGCTCAACAACCCCTACAATCGCTAGCCATATTAGATCAGACCATCCTTGATATATTGATAGCCTATCAAACATATTTTGAACCTACTCGCTTCTGTCTTTTGCGACTTCACTTGGTGGGTACGATTCATATTAAGAGGTGCTACTGGTTAAAGCGTTGCCAAACTCCGAACACCTGTGGCATCTTCAGACTAATGACAACATCTTACTATGATACACCAACATTTTGTACCTTTAATATACCTAGGCTAATACACGGAGGCCTTGGTGATCCACTGCTTGTAGATACGAAAGCTCATTAAACGAAACCTTCCATTCTATCCAGAACCACTTGAACTATTTACTGAAGAATAGAATTTGCGTGGGAGATTTATCTTAACAAGGTCGTGCCCAATGTTAACCCTCATACTTTCGTTTTTATTGTCGACAGTTTCAGTACGATATAATAACTTAGTTTTAAATTCAAAAGGCTTTAGATATCTCTGGTTACACGCTTGAACATAGGTTCAGGGAGAGTAGGTTCTGTACCTTAGTCTATATTTAGTAGATGGGGCTTTCAGTCAAATGGATGGAACTTCGATTAAATCATCATCTGGAGTTCTAACTTTAGTTTCCGGGGGTCACATCTTTTCAACTGATGAAAAACAGCAGCTGCAGGTGTGTACTTCCTATTTCTAAACTTTCAAGGAGTCTGCAAGGGCCGGGTACATGTATAGCGTTCGTATGCCTGTTAAAAACGAAGAATATATTGAAGCTTCGATTCGTTCGGTAACAGAATTTATCATCTAGCATGTTCAAGTGCCAAATTATTGCCTCTAGGATGAGATTAAAGCTCACAGTTAGCGTTAATGACGCCGGGGACCCAATTGCAATACATATGAGCACTCCGAAGTACGATTGCTCATATGACATTTCTGAGAGTTTTATGAACCTCCCGGATTTATCTATCAGTTTAGCATTGCAAAAACCAAAATTAGGACCAAGGTATTGATCATGTCAATTTTTACTCTTTAGTCCTGAAACTGCAAAGTATCTAGAGAAACTCGAGAAGCAACGCGAAGAAATGGCTCGTGCCGAGCAAAGTGACAATCGTTCTTTCTTTGCTAAATATGTAAGTATTTTGGTGGGTATACTTCTTATGGACTCGAATTTCCTGGAATGTGTTTACCACATCCTCTGTTACTAGATCCTCTAACGGTTTTCGTTGTTATTTGTTTCAGACGAAAGGAACTAAGACTTTTTACTTTTTCTACAGAATGTCACGCATAGTTTCTGCATACTGTCTTGTCATCGTATCTAGTTCAGAATCTTATCTGTAGGTGCGCTGTAACTAGAGTCATTCTGATTTTTTTTTATCTACTCTCCACGATTCTTGGGTTAGACAACCTGTCCAACCATTTGTTCATGTGTATAAATTTGTCAGAGTCTTGCTATCCTGTGAATTAGAAAGTAAGCTCCGACAAAGTTAACTGCTGCATATCAAATCCATGATCATAGTAAACGACAAGCCTGACTGTAGTGACCAAAACGTTTCTACTCCAATGGTAAGTGATTGTACTGGATCTCAGTTGTGCATTTTGTTGTTTAGGCCAGAGATCAATTAAAGTCTCATAATGAAAAACGTTTAAAATGTTGACCAAAGGTTGAAAGATAGTTTTTTTCATTAAATGTAACTTCTGTTGAAATGGATATTTTATTCCAGTAATAATGATGAGACCATATTGCGGATATTAATTTTTGAAATTTTTAGTGCTAGTGATCTAGCTCTATGTAGTCATCAATACAGAGCGCCAGTGCTATGTTTGTTAGCAAGAAACCCTTGTGGGTCATCGCTAATTAGAATAATTAGATCTTCAGACGTAGACGATTCGGTTTCGATCCCTAAAGTTTCTGAGAATATCCTAAGATGCTCATTGTAAACTATGAAATAAAAAAGGTGGATAGCGAAGTTTGTTTTGTGATTAGTGGTGCTTGCGTTCACAAATTATAGCAGTTCAAAAAACAGTCCAATGTTCACATTTTTTAAACACGAAAGGATTTTCGTTACTAAGATAGCATTATAGTCGAAAATGTGGTTTGATGTAGTAAATACCTTCACTGTTTAGTTTCAAAAATGTTTCATTGTCTAGGTTACTCTCGGTGGAATTAATTCACTGTCATACATGACTTCTTTGTTTCTAGTCTTTCACTTACTTCAACTTATTTAAACTTCGTTTTCACACGTCCTAGGTAACTGTTTCTCTCTTGAACTTTCTCTGCTTTGCACCTGTATAGTAGGTATTGTTTATAGTGGCATGCAACAAAGTTTCAAGATCTCAACTTGTAATGAGTGCTTGGATGTTTTTTGAGTTTGACTCTATATGTACTCAGATTTTTACTTTAAATACAATCGGAACACTATTTACCCTCAACTGTCTCATTTAACACAAAAAAATTAAATTCGATTTCAATGCTTCCTGGTTTATTGTTAAGTCCCAAGTGTAAGTCATACAATAGAATCTACTCCGACCTACAAATACAATGTTTACTGTTTTGTTTCCATTGATAACTATAGCCTGTTCCATTAAAACCTACCGAGTGGGGGGGCACCGGCTTTAAAACTCACTGTTCCCATGATATAAGGCCTTTTGGTTCTTGTGATGCAAGTTAGCAGAATGGGTAGTCTTTTCAAGTGCTTTGACAAATATACTGTTAAAACCAATCAGTTGGTATTTATTTGACAGATATCTATCTCATTTTTCTAATTCAAAACTGGTAACAGCATCTTCCTATTACAATTAAATGCAGCACATTATCAAATTTCATTAAGAGTATATTTACTTGGCTTACCATTAATGCATTGCTCCTACAAATAGGCACTAGTTACTTTCACTTTAGACCTTAGTGTATATTGGATAATGAATTCGATAGTCAAGCTACAAAAAATAGCACGAATTACAGTTGCTCAACCATTAAGCCTGTGCTCACTACCAAAGGCGTCACAAATTAAGGGTTCATGGTGTTTACATTTAAATTAACCATATAAAGACAGATACTAATAATAAGCTCCCTTAGCTGATCTGCTTCTGTCATGCAGCATATGGCTTTATCCCGACAACTTCATAGTTTTTCCAAGTTCACGTATAATACACGTCTCAGTCATGACTACATCGGCTGAACATAACACGTCCAATGACCACTCTGGTTCACAGAATTAAATCTAAGACTACAAACATATGTTCAAAAGCCGTATACAAGCTTTGTATCCAAATGACGTGTTTACACAGGTTTCAGCATCATTAGTTCCCAAAGTTTGGTTATCCTAAAACCCGTTGAAGTTTTATTTTTTTGTTATCGTATGTGATGTCTCGTTTAGTCAGCCATTCCTGTCGGTGTTTCTTTAAATCCGGGCTATCAGACTTCAGTTCATTTACAAGTACGTTCCGTACAATTTACTTTTTATCACTCTAACTGCATTATGATTGAAATTCATCTTATCATTCTTTTATTGGTTAACACTATCTGCTCCAAACGCCCCCTCACTATAAAATAAGAGTTCGTTGAGTTTATTATCTTAAACATATAGATTCACTGGCCTTTCATCTGAATTTCATTTCACTGACTATGAATCAGCTGTTGTAGTGTTTATACTCGACTAATTGATCTAAGAGTTAGGTCGACTGTAGACACCAAGATTATTACGTCTAGTTGATTTTTTACCTTGTTTTACGATCTGTGCTTATTTACATGAGGTCTATATCAGACAGTAAAATCAACCACAACACAGACTCTAGGACCTATAATTGAAATTCAGTAGATCTAGCAAAATACTGAGGAAATACCAGTAGTATAATTCTAAATGTGGCAGATTTCTACAAACCGGCAGAATATACTTAAGTCTAGAAACATATTATAAATCAAACTTTAACCGAACTGATTGAAGAGATTTAGGGACAAGGGTTTAAGATATATATATATATAATTTCACATCATTGTGATATTGTGTCACAATTTGAACCGGTAAACATGTTTTCCACATTTTACGTTGCTTATAGCTGATCAATTAGTAATTTTTCAGTGTCCCGTTTTCTACAGACTATCAAAGGTATGGATCAAGATGACTAAAAATCCACAGATCACTTCAAATGAGATAAATGTTAAAAAATTGCAGGCTGAACGACCTCCATTAGCTCGGTAATCTGTATGTTATTCAAACGTTAGTAGTTACTCGTTGATAACGATTACACTCAGTTATGCCATCGAACTTTTAGTTTAAAATAATTGTAAATTTAATAATGGAATCAAGATAAATGAAGCTTCATTTTTTTCATCCAGTTAAATGATTGATTAGTAATTTATTTGCAATACTTCCTATTTTTCTCATTGATTCCAGTGGACCTACATTATTCCAGCAGTTTTCTTATTCATCCTGTTCTCCAGTATGCAAGATCCTAATGCAGCTGGAGGAAATATTGGGGGTGCTAATCAACAGTAGACGAAAACTTAATAGATATCAATCCATAATACTGTTTAAGTATTTTGTAAATTATATTTGGTTTTAACAATACTTGTATGTTTATTTTATATGTTATTTTTCATTTTGTTGATAATGAATTCTAATTTGGAATTTATTTCTTTTGAATGTTTACATAAAATACTTGTAATTTGCCCGGTTATATCGCCGATTACTTTTGTAGATATCCTAAAAAACAGAAAATAATTCAATGTTGCGTTCTATCAGACTTAATATTTATAAATAATTGTCGTTTTTCAAAAGAGAGATAGGAATGTGTGTTCAAGAGTCAGGTGTTCAAGTTGATTGTGTTAAGTTAACATTGATTCAACGTCTTTTACATATAATATTGGTGAGACCTTAGAACGATACTTAAGTGACCTTTAGAATATCCACATACTTACTAGGATTTACACTTGTACGTTAGATTTGGGGGTTTTCTTGAGATGAGATGATGAGATCGATTCACATATAGTGAAAGCCAGAGCGGCTTATGCCAATCTGCGCCACCTTTGGCACGTTCGTGATGTTAGTCTGGCTGTAAAAGACCGGATCTACGACGCGTCGGTGAGAGCAGTTTTGCTCTATGCTTGTGAAACCTGGCCTCTCCGAGTTGAGGATGTTAGACGACTCTGTGTTCGATTATCGTTGTCTCCGAAGGATTGCTGATATCCAGTGGCAACACCATGTTAGTAATGCAGAGGTTCGGCATCGTGTGTTCGGGCACAGAGATGATAATGCAATTGGTGTCACCATCCTGAAATATTGACTTTGGTGGCTTGGACATGTTCTACGAATGTCGTCTCATAGAATTCCACGTCGCGCATTATTTGGCGACTCTGGGACTGGTTGGAAAAATCGGAGAGGTGGTCAGTGTATGACATGGTGTCGTGGTATGAAAGAACGCTGCAAAGGGTTGGCTTGTGTTGGTCGTTCATGACTCCCTGATTGGGGTCCGAGAGATGGTGCAACACATTGGCTAGGAACGTTATCAGATATGGCTCAGAATAGAATCCAGTGGCTATCGTGCTGTAGCCTTCTTTTACTTTCTTCGTAAAGTGTTTGTAACTCCCCTAACTGAAATAATTCTTCTGGTTGTACCTTCCCGTTTCCCCCACTATTATTATTGTTATTTCATTTCCATACACTAACCTGTAGTTGTTATTGTTCTCTCTTTTTTTCTTATACGCACCCTACATTCTTTTTATCTTCCCATTCTCATTGTTTTGTGTGGCGCATATATATCTGGTGCCCCCTTGTACCAATATTTATGTGTTCAAATAAGTAAATGGGGTTTTTCATCATAAGCTGACATAAGCTATAATGCCAAAATGCTATTTAGGCAAACGGATGAACGAATTTCGCGCCAAAATCCAAGACCTGATTGGTTCGTCCATAAATTATTATTATTTCAATTAAATAGATTTAAAGATTTCACAAGTATGTGGAGTTTGACAACACCTTAATCAGTAAAACCTATAATCAAAAAGTGTCAACCCAGTGAAGTCAGAAGTGAATAGCTTCGAAGATATATTTGATAGGTTATCGATTTATCGGAAAGTGACCGATCTAAACTGGCTATCGATCGTAGGATAAGTTGAGCACAGAGTACCCACACGTGATCGGGTGAGGAAGCACGACTGAGTACCTTCAGCTAGGTGAGTCCATTAAAACTAATGTGGTCAGCATCAAATATCGAAGATTTACAGAGCTATTGATTTGGGGGATTTACCTACTGCTACAGATTGGTTCCATAACAACCAAGAACTAAACATTTGGTGAAGTTCAATCAAGTAACATAATAACCAATTTACAATGGAATGGCGTACTTGATATGTCATCTAATACAACAAACGGAGTGAATACATTGTTTACAAATGTGGTTGGACAAGATCTTATTTTGCAAGTTTTGTAATCCCATTGTTTCAAAATAAGTTTCAATATATTTAAATTGTTCAAACAAATATTTTCTATTCTATTTCTAAGGCCTGTTACTCCTAATGGAGCATAGGCCGCCAACCAGCATTCTCCAACTCACTCAGTCCTGGGCCTTCTTTTCTAGTTCCATCCAATTCTTGTTCATTTTTCTCATGTCTATCACCATTTCCCGGCGTAATGTCTTCTTCCGTCTTCCTCTTTTCCTTTGACCTTGTGGATTCCATGTGAGGGCTAGTCTTGTGACGCAATTGGGTGCTTTCCTCAATGTGTGTCCTATCCACTTCCAGCGCTTCTCCAAACAAATATAATTTCTACTAAATTATTTACTATACCTAATTGTATTCGATATTAAAATCAAGCAATTATCTTCTAATTTGTGAAATACTTTTAAAAATGCCACTAACATTTCAACCATCAATCTATTTAAACAAAGCATAATTTACATTAAACTTATAGGAACAACTATTGAATAGCTGAATCCATCTTATCTTATTACATTCTTGATATATCAAATGGTTCCTTTGAGATCTTGTCTATTGGGAATATTTTTTTAGTTACTTATCAAGGTAGGTTTAGTCAGTAAACACCGTTTTTGGTTTCTATACAATTGTTGCAGCCTTATTTTACGTACTCATAAATATACACTTTTTTATTCGTTTGTTACTTTATTGGATGTTAACTTAGTTCCGGCTTATTTTTAACGCTGCATTGTTGTCTCTGTCTAATTCACTTTTCTGATCCACTTGAAATACATTATCCCATATCTGTTCATATTTTGACTTCTCATTTCATGATGTTGGAGTTAGGCACTAAATTGACCTTGAGAATGTCCACCTATATACTACGGCTATATGAGGGTTATAAACCAGTGTGAAGAAATTAGGATTAGTATTTACAGTTGATAGTTAGGGTTAGGAATTAGATCTAAGATTTTCATCACGAACTGACTCTATTTAACCAAATGAATGAATTAATTTCGCTCCAAAATTCAGGACCTATTATCGTAAACCTGATTGGTTCATCCATAAATTATAGTCGTGGCAATATGACTCTATCCTGTCGATCAAATTTCAAGTGATTTGATGGATAACCCGATCAGTAGTTTTCGTTTGTCTTCTCAAATTATTTAATTAGATCGATTACTAGAAAACATACATACTGTTACTCACCATTTAGTCTGTAATGCCATTCATCATGTGTGATGAATAGGTGTGTTATTTTGTTCAAATTATATTCTCCTACTAACTAAAATTGGATTTCTAGTAATGACAAAGGCAGAGATCGTGATCCATTATTATTATTGGGTGGAATAGATAGTGGATATTATTCCGGTGATGTAACTTATTTCAATGGTTTGAGCACGAAATTCTGGATAGTATAGATGAGTGTTTAAAGGGTTGGATGGAGAATGCTGGTGAGCGGCCTATGCTCCTTCACGAGGAGTAACAGGTTTAAGTAAGTAAGTAAGTATAGATGAGTGTTTAAATTACTGAATAGAATGTCATTTATGTGTTTATTCATTTTACTGAAAGGATTACATACATTAAAAAAAAAGGATGTGATGCAATACCCCATTTAAGGATGAGTGATTATAATCACACTCCATTAAAGTAAACATTCGATGAGGCTTTATATCAAAATAAATCAAGTCAGATCAGTCGGAATAACCCTACTGTTCTTCGTCTTTATCCAGGGACTTATATTTACATATATTTCTATATAAAATACACCAGTTAAATGTTTTTCACCTACATATAACTTGTAGTGACCTACTTTTATCAAGAGAACGCGATTGGTATCATTGAAACAACTATTATTATAACCAATTGTACCAGTGATTGTTTTACTGTACTTGTTTGTTTAACTGTACTAAAGACAGACACTCTCCCTTTGCTTATGACCTTGCACGAACTTACGTTTGCTCAGTAGTTCCACTTGTACTCCTTCTGCACGATCTCGGTATTATTTTGATACCACGAGATTGCCAACAAATATATCTTACTACAACCTTCAATCGCCTTCTGCTTTCTGGTTTATTCGGAGGTTTAGCCTGTTCTGGTACGCAATCTTCTTGTAGTGGTGATCATAGTCAAACGCGACTTGACTCCACACTACAAACCAGTGTCAATTAAGACAGCTTTGGTTGCTGAAATCAGTAATTCAAGTAAACTGGAACTAGAATTATTATAGATATCAATGTAACTATTTACATTACTTAGAAATTTCAATCGGTTTGCTTTTTACACTAACATCTATGAAAATAATCACAAAAAAGGCAAGAAAAACAAAATTTCTTGATGAATAAAACTAATTTTAAGGAGCCAGTTATAAACTGATGTTTCATGACGTCTTGGCATTGTCAGAACGTTAAGCCATAAGTTCTCGCGCACATGTTACATATTGTCGAGGATTTTAGGATGTCGTTATTTATCAGCTATTAACAACATTTTTTTCGGTCACACGTAAATTTTCGTAATGTTTGTGCTTGTTACATAGCTTTTATTCCA